TAATATTATACAAATGTTTACTTAATATTTTATGTGAGTAAACACAAATCTTTTATTTTCTTTTTTTTTTTACCTCTCAATTTAATGGTGTTATGGGCTTCGTTAAGTCTAGGACTTAATTTGATAATTTTACAAAATTTAAGTCCCGAATTGAGGAAAAAAAAAATTTCAAACCCCGAATTGATGGTTTATCCATCTTTCTGGTCTTGTATTGATAAAACTCTTATTTAATTATATTGATAACATTGAAAACATTAGGTTGAGTCAAGTTGAATTTGATTTTGAGTATAAATTGAGTTAGAAATGTTCCTCTACCCACGGTGGGCACATGTTAATATGCCCACCGTGTATGTGGCATGCATTCATTGGTGATGTTAATAAGTTTAAAAAATACATGACCAATGAGTACATGTCACCTAGGGGTGAGCATGGGTCGGTACGGTTCGAAGATTGATAAATCTCCAGAACCGTACCGAAGTTCGGAGATCACTAAAATTCAATCTCCAGAACCGTACCAAAAAATCGGTTCGGTCCGGTTCGGAGATTTTTATTTTTCGGTTCGGTTCGGTTCGGTTTTCGGGACTATCGGAACGATTCGGTTCGGTTTGGTTCGGTTCAGATATTCGGAGATTTCTTATCATTTTTTAAATTTTTTTGAATGACCACCTAGTTATATTTTATTTTTTATATGTTTTATTTTTAAAAAATCCAACATTCATCAATACTTCATCATACTAAAGATTTTTTTAAATCAACTTTAGAAGTAACCCTAACTTTTAGTTAAGACTAAATTCAACTAACATTAAAAATTTAAAATCAAATAAAATATAATACAATTTTATATTAAAATAATATTTATTTAACCGTCCCTAACACGTTAGTTATAAGATAAACTAAAGCTAAGTATCGACAACTTTAAGTAAAGTTTAAATATTTTTTTTAAATCTTTAACCTTTCATTCCATTTTATTTCTTTTTAAATATGAGAAATTCAATTATAGATTAAGTATTACTAAACATGAAATGTAAGTGAATCTTCATTGTTATTACTATATTTTATTTGCATTTTATGTATTTTCAAATTATATAGTATCAAAGTTGACATATAATATATTAATAATACGCATCTATTTTAATAATTCGGTTCTTAATTTCGGTTCTTCGGTTCGGTATGGTACGGGACGGTTCGGTTCGGTTCTCGGTACGGATATTTAAGAAATCTCCAGAACCGTACCAATTATTTTTTTAGTTCGGTTTGGTTCGGAGAAAGTCAAATGGTCAACGGATAATTTTCGGTTCGGAGTAATTTCGGTTCGGTTTTCGGGACAGTTCGGAATTCTCCGAGTCCCATGCTCAGCCCCACCTACGCGGTGGACATATTAACATGTGACTTCCGTAGGTAGGTGAGCATTTCTCTAAATTGAGTATGACGATAAAATTCAACAAGAAGCACACCCCTGAACAACGAAAAAAAAAAAGGTAGAGAAATCCCTAATAGGCATCACGCATACTCCAGCACCGACCTAGATTCTTCCTTCACACACTCGAGTCTTCGGTTATTGACGCCATAGATTTTTGTTTTCCGATTCCGAATGTATTCTCATCTTCCTTCGTAAATCTGAAGCTTTCGAATTTCATCTATCGTCTTACTGATCGATGGTTAGTGCTTTGGTTTACGAGGAACCAACTTATATAGTTTTGAAGTTTGATACATCAAAGTTCGTAGCTGCAATATCTGATTGAATCTAAGATGTGCTGAATTTTGAACTCGGTCCTCATTATCCTGTCAGTCATTTGATCGAACACTTGGCGCTGAATCTAAGATGTGCTGAATTTTGAACTCGGTCCTCATTATCCTGTCAGTCATTTGATCGAACACTTGGCGCGTGCTGTTTTTGCTCTGGGTATTGATATCATCACTACCGTGCAATTAGCCCAGATGGGAAAACCACTGTTCTACGAGATTTGGGAAAAGCCAGCTACAAGTTGTATAATTGGGATTTGCAGTGCAATTTGGTTCTACATCCAAAAGAACAACATTGGGTATGCGCATGTGGGCTTGAGTTATGAGACTGCTATGGAGGGCCATCATTGGAGGATAATCACATCAGCCTTTTCTCACATTAGCATCCTTCACCTTGTGTTCAATATGAGCGCACTTTGGAGCTTGGGGGTTATCGAGCAGTTGGGCCATGTGGGACTTGGAGTGGAGTACTATCTCCATCATACGATTCTACTGGTGGTCCTGTCGGGTTTGTTGGTCTTAGGAATGTACCATGTTTTCATCCAGAAGTTGAAGCTCGACTATTTTCGGAGAGTGACTGCAGTTGGGTACTCTTGTGTTGTGTTTGGTTGGATGACGATTTTGTCGGCCAAGCAGCCCTCATCCAAGCTCGAGCTTTTCGGGATCCTCTCGCTTCCAATCAGCTTTGCCCCATTTGAATCCCTCATTTTTACATCTATTATCGTGCCACAGGCAAGCTTTATTGGCCATTTGTCTGGAATTATTGTCGGGTATGCTATTGCTTGGGGTTTGATACACGGGATGAACAATTATTGGGCTGTATCCATGTTGGGATGGATTATTCTTGTGTTCGTATACAGTTTAAAGAAGTCTGGTTCCTATAATTTTGACTTTCTCGAGATTGAGTCTGTTACTGATCCTTCTTTACCGTCTGTGCGCTTTCTGCCGTCTGGAAATAGTAGAACATTGCAGATCAGTGGACTACCTGATGCTGGGGCTAATCTTGTGTAGCTTTCTTGAAATATTTTTGTTTGCTGATATAGTGTGCACTTGTGATTTGAATTGCTGTGCTGTTATCTTGGAATGTGGTTTGGCCAATACACACTTTGTTTTGCTGCATTAGGATGTCTTGAGGGAAAGTTCTGTTGTATCTTTCAAGATCTTACATGTTTAACATCCCTGGCCCTCCTGTATTGAGTTTTTCTATAAGCGTAACAAGAAAATATTGTTTCTCTGTCTAGGCAATGATTTTTTGTATATATTTATCATTTGGTTATGATCACTGAAATAAAAGGGTGGTTTTATATGGATTCTTTTATTTATTTTTGTTGATGTGGAATGAGGCATTTCGGCTGCATGAACAAATTTTATTTCTTCAACGAGGTTAAGTTCAAGTGAGCAAATTAGTCGGGAGCTAGGGAAGTTTACCACTGAGAATTTTTTCGTAGCTGAATTTGTAACAAAGACCCAAGTGATAATACTCCAGTTGTTCATTTAACTTAAGAGCCTTGAGTTTATTCCAACTAATGTAACAACCTTTATTTTCGAACAAGATGGAATATACGATGATCCAGTGGTTCTTTGTTAGATAAAAAAAAAGAAAGTGGAATAACTTTGGAATATACAATGATCCAGTGGTTCTTTGTTTTCGAACAAGATGGAATATACGATGACCCAATTAAAAAAACTTGTCATCGTTTGCATGTCGCAAGTTATACATATGCCAAATGGACATGCATTAAGATGTCCATACATGCTATGCTTATAATTATTTAGAAGTAATAGTAGCACATATGAAAGATTGGAACTGAGTCGCATCGTTTGCATTATCATTTTTTACTAGGATTTAATTTTATGCAATGGCACTTGTTTTGAAGTATATTCTCGTACGACCCTGCGTGTGGCAAGCAAATAACTCTTGCATATGGCTTGACTGCAGTGACCTGAAGGTGTTAACCAAAGAAAATGATGATTAAACGTTTCCGTTATTAGGTACTCTGTTTTCTCTTTAGGTTTTAGCAGGATGAAATCTCTGAATGTGGCATACTTATAGCATGATTAGCAGGATTTATGTTTGTGCTCAAGAAGATGTCTTCATAGTCCGGAAGGTGCGCAAAATCTGTTAGCACCATATTTTTGTTGATATTCAAACTTTTTACGGAAGCTTTTTGCATTTTGATTTCTTCAACTTGTCTGTAGTTTTATTTTTCTGCCATCTAATTTCTTCATTTTTTTTCTAAAGGATTTTGATGCAGTAGACTTTGTAACGGGATCTATATATTCACTTAATCCACTTTGCGGTGGTCTTGTTATGTATCTCTGTGTCATCTTTGGTATTATATTTTCACTACAAATCTTATTTATGTGAGATACATAGTGATGGATTAGTACCGACTGGAAAGAAAACTAGACTTTAATAACTAGAAAGAAAAACTAGAGTTTCAATAGCGTATGTTAGTTCCCTTGAGGATGGATAAACATTCGGGAATAATTATATAACTTTAGCCTGACAAGAGTCCACGTACCCGTTAAAGAAACAAGACAAACTGAAATCATCTGACTTGTGAAAATCATCAAACTAGCCAGAAAATCTTGAATTGAAGAATAGTATTAACTCTAATGTCCAAAACCTAGTATTAAATAAAAAAAAATGAAGAAGAAGAAGAAGAAGAAGAAGAAGAAGAAGCAAACTTGTCTCTCTTGGGCTATGTTTCCTATCCTAGAATATACAATTGAAGCTGTTGACAGAAGTTTTATTGTTGTATGTAGGAGGTTCACACATTTTGATCCTGTGGATTCTTTAATACACACCTTATACCTCAGTTGCCCTAGAAAGTAAGGATCATTTCAAGTTCTTACTATGAACATTATTCATTTTCCTTTTAAGTTCATATCTTCCTTCTAGAGGATGGTCGATAACGAATATATATATATATAGTAGTCTGTTATTGGTCACTTTCACCAATAAGTGGGCAATGCATATATAAACATACTCATGAGACACCAAGACAAGAAAAAACTAATCACCCCTTTACAACAAGATGTCATCTCCACCTCTTATAAAATAAACCTCAGCAAATGAATTCAAATAGCATGACAATAAGCCTGAGTTGTACACAAAACCTACTCCCAAACCACAAAAGGGCCATCACAATTATCACATGATTTTGATCACTATAAAAACATGCTGCAGACCTAGTTCACTACATTTCATTATTCATTCTGTTCCTAACACGGAATTACGTTTTTCCCCTCCCATGGAGAAGACGCTCTTTCACTTTCGAAATGGGAGTCTGCTGCAACACCTATATCTTCTCGTGAAAACTCCCATGGAGAAGACACTTTTTCACTTTCGAAATGGGAGTCTATTGCTGCACCCATATCTTCTCGTGGTCGTTTTGGCATTGAGCGTCATTATGATGGACCCTTTTAAGTGGGGCCCATTGGGAGGACGAGACTTTAGGCCGGTGAGAAATGACATAGCGCCCTACGATGATGTGATGGGGGGTTGGCCTTGGGACAACCGAAGCCGGTTGGGATTTGGGAATTTGGAGTTCAAGGATGATATTTTCGGGCCCGAGTCCCTAGAGTTCGACAGTTTGGGTCGTGGCCCGTATGCCGGGCTAGCTGATGGACGTGTGGTGAGGTGGATGGGCAAAGATGCCGGCTGGGAGACATTTGCACTAGTCTCCCGTGATTGGTATATATGGGTTTAATTTTACTTTTTCCGATTCCCTTGTCCATGCAGATAAAAAAAAAAATCTTCAATTTTTCCATTATCTGTTTACAAAAATTTTCCATTGAAGGAAAACATATTTAAAAATCATTTATAAATTTTCCATTGTCTAGAGTTGTTTATTTTTTTTTATTTATATTTATTTATTATTTTTTTTTACCCATTTCTCAGCAGTAAAAATATCTTAAAGAGTTTTAAGTGAATAAACATTAACTAATTAGAAAGGTCAATAAGAAAATAGTTTGCTTGTGTATTGGAACTTGTTCCAGGTCTGAGAAGGAATGTGCACAAGCCAAGGACTCGACGACAAAGAAGCAGTGGAATGTGGAGCCGAAATGCGGGCGCCCTCTCGGTCTAAGGTTCGACAAAAAGAGCGGTGACCTGTACATTGCTGATGCTTACTATGGGCTCCTTGTGGTGGGGCCTGATGGCGGCCTCGCGACCCCAGTGGCAACGCAAGCCGGTGGGGAACCCATTCTTTTTGCAAACGACCTCGACATTCATGACAATGGGTCCATCTTCTTCACCGACACTAGCAACCGATACAATAGAGTGTAAGTACATTTATATTGATATATTAACTGAAAAATAGTGTTAATTTAACTTTTTGGTTAATAATTAATACTTTTGCTGTGGAGAAGATGAAATATAGTCACTTTTTGTGTAAAAAATAATTTATAGTCATTTTTTCCATTTCCCGGAGATGGAGAAACCATTATTAAGCAGAAACTTATTTCTAAGGCTCCAAAAATGCAAAATAATGGTTATAATGATCTTTTTGAAAAATATGGTTATAATCATATTTATGAAAAATGGCTATTTTCATATTTTCTTTGTTTAATAATTGAGAACTATTTATTTATTTTCATGCGTAGTGCATTCATAAGATATTACAATTGCAAATATTTAAGAAGATTTCTATGTGTTCGTGTGTAGGGACCATTTTTTTATAATGTTGGAAGGGGAAGCAACTGGACGGCTACTCAGATACGATCCTCAGACGAGAACAACACATGTTGTCCTAAAAGGACTGGCGTTTCCTAATGGAGTTCAGTTGTCCCAGGACCAATCTTACCTCCTATATACAGAGACTACCAATTGCAGGTTCATATATTGACATAAGAAAGTATTTTTTTCAATTTCATCAACCTTTTTTACATCATATCGTGATTTTTTGTGCACTAACTTTTAATCTTTATATATGTTCTCTATGAATTTAATATTTAGTCTATGCCTTATCGAGATCAGTGCACGTATGTAAGTACGTAGTTATGCTCATACTACATCAAAGTGAAAATTTGAAACTACACCACTTTGCAGGATTATGAAACACATGCTGATGGGGCCAAAAGCGGGCAGCACAGAGGTTGTGGCAAACCTTCCGGGATTTCCAGATAACATTCGGATAACCGAGAGTGGCGATTTCTGGGTGGCGATCGACTGCTGCAGGACAGCTGCCCAAGAGGTTTTTGTCCGAAATCCATGGCTGAGGAGCCTCTACTTTCGGGTGCCTCTACCTATGAACTATTTGGCGAGGATGGCTGGGATGAGAATGTACACCATGATATCACTCATCAATGGCGAGGGAGAGATTTTGGATGTTCTTGATGACGAGAAAGGGGTCGTTATGAAGTTGGTTAGTGAGGTGAGGGAGGTTAATGGAAAACTGTGGATTGGGACTGTGGCACATAATCACATTGCCACAATACAGTATCATCCACAAGCACATTGATATATATGTATGTGTGTATGTTTGTTGAAGTATATCAGCCTCTAGTATTTTGTGATGTACCGATTTTATTTTATTCGGTCGTGTGTAGTTATACTAAAAGTGCTTAATTAGTGATGTCTCTTCGCTGTGGGGATGATCAATGTAATAAGCCCCACCAATGAAAAACATGGAGCACGGAGTTTAGGTTCTGGCGTAATTCGGGCGCTCAACTTTTTGTGGTTGGTCCTTCATTCTAGGAGGATGCTTGGATAAAGATACAGTTCCGTTACGGAATCATTCTGTTGGGATTTTTAATCGTAGGTACACCATGTAGATTAGTGTAAATCGATAATCTACGGTCAAAAATTTCAACGGAATGGTTTCATAACGTAACTGTAGTCATCCCCCGAAAGTTGCCCCAAAAAAATTTAATTACTTTTAACCAATTATTTTTTTAATTTATCTAATTCAACTTTTATTAAATCTCATCATCTTCAATATTATTATTATAATTAAACAATATCAATCAATAGTTTTTATACATTGCATCAACTTTAATTTACTATTAATCTATTCACTAATTTTAATTTTAACTAATCGCCACTTCATATCAATTTTTTTTTTTTTACTTTTATATTAAATCAACTTTAATTATTTTATAACAATATCATTTTAATATATATCTAACTATCAACTAATCGTACCACGTTTTTCAAAAAACCAAACCAACTACGAACAAAATAAAAAAAGTCGTGCGGTAAGATGGTGTCTAAGAAGTTAGCCATGTATTGGCCCACTTTTAGTTTATATTTTCAATTTATTTTGGAAGTGCTCGTTTGACCAACTCAAATTATAAATTTTATGTAGATTATAAGGAATTAAAGCTGTAAAAAATGGGGGTTAATTTGAAGGGTTTGCATAGAATGGGTTTTTATGAGGTCGGACTTTTCGGCTTTGCCTTAAATGTTGTATTTAGTGAGAGAAATTTTGTCAGAGAATTTTTTGATCAGTCCGCTCCAAAATGGATTCCTAGGACTACTTATAATAAGATATACCCAGTTACTAGAGGTCATAGGTTTACGGACATGTGACCGCATCCCATCAGTCATTACCAAACCGCAAGTGGGCTTATTTTAATATTTCCTTCCTCAGTGTGTCTTCGGGTTCTGACCTCGATGACGCCTTGAAGTCAGACTAGGCTCTTATATCTTCGTCTTTAGACCGACAAAAATCTATGATAAATCGACTTGAATTTTAGGCAGGAGTCCGACTTGAGGTCCTGTCTCGTAAGGGGTTTCCTCCGACTCTCGATGCGTGGAGGCTGAGGCTCTGGCTCATGATTCTCGACCTCTCAGCGCCGACCTAGGGTTCCAATTTCCGCACCTTAATTTCCTTTATTGAATATTTTTATATGATTACTTCGAGTTCTTTTTAACTCTAACTCAGATATCAACATACATGTCCCCGAGCTCAGAGAGAAAAATAGGGTCATTCCTTCTGAGGTCCTCATAAGAATAGGTACGGGTTGGCCAAATGGCGGTTAATGCGTGTGTATCCAATCGGCGCGTCCCCCGAGCATTAATTAAAAATATTATTATTTATCAGTTAATATATATATATATATATATGTATATAGGAGGCGGATCAAATGAGGATAGCTCTTAAAATGAGGACAACTCTTAAAATAACCATGCAATATTTTGACACTAACTGTGCAACATTTTATCACTAACTATGCATCATTTTTACACTAACTTTGCAAGTTTAATTGTATGTAGTTGCAAGGTTAGTTGTTTGTTGGTGCTAGGTTAATTGTCTATAGTTGCTAATTTAGTTGTCTGTAATTGCTAGGTTAGTTATATATAGTTGCAAGTTTTAGTTCTATCTAGTTGCAATGTTAGTTATGTCTAGTTGCGAGGTTAATTGTATGTAGTTACAAAGTTAGTTGTCTGTAGTTGTCAGGTTAGATGTCTGTAGTTGCAAGGTTAGTTGTCTGTAGTTGCAGGGTTAGTTGTATCTAGTTGCAAGGTTAACTATTTGCAGTTGCAAGTTTAGTTGAATGTAGTTGCAAGTTTAGTTATCTGCAGTTGCAATGTTAGTTGTTTGTAGTTACAAGTTTAGTTATCTGTTTTTGCAAGATTATTTATGTTTTAGTTGCAAGGTTAGTTCTCTGTAGTTGCAATATTAGTTGTATCTAGTTGCAAAGTTAGTTATCAGTAGTTGCAAGGTTAGATATATTTAGTTGCAAGGTTAGATATATTTTAGTTGCAATGTTAGTTGTATCTAGTTGCAAAGTTATTTATCATTAGTTGCATATTTAGTTCATATTAAGTGCATAGTACTGGATGCATATTTACTTCACACATAATGCATACTAGGGGTCAACGTTCAACGTCGGAGTCAACACCAGAAGTCAACGGTCAACGCCGAAAGTCATCGATTTTCGCCGGAAGTCAACGGTGAACGCCGGAGTCAACGGTCAATGGTCAAAATAATATGTAAATAACTAAAATAATTAAAATAAAAAATTATTATCTATATATATATATATAATTACTGGCTAATCCATTTAATAAAACATTTAAGAAAACCTATTTCACTTTCTCGCCTAAAAACATTACATGCTATTTTATGGATTATTTTTTTTTAATAAAAGCAGACCAACAATGAGCGTGGACTCTGCTGAGATTAAATGTGGCAGTTACAATCTCATCCAAAGATTAAATATTTTCCAATTAATAATAAAAGTTTTATTAGGGAAAAACTTAATTAGATGAAATATTTAGTTAATAAAATTATAATCAGTCTTTTTCTTATACTTTTTTATTTTGCTCTATAAATTAATAAATAATCAGTCCGAGAAAATTGAACAAATACAACACATATACAAAAATTAAAAAAAATTACAAAAAATTACAAATAATAAATTAATTGACCGCCCTTCAGCTTCGAATTAGACCTGCAAAAAATAATAAAAAAAAATTAAATTTGTAAACAATGTAATTATCCCATGATTAATTATATATATACATTAACAATAATGTAATATAAACCTTAAAATGTTCAATTTCAGTAAGGCGGGAATAAATAAATTAAAATCAAAATCAAAATCAATGAAAAAGAGGCGGCAAGTAAACTAAATAAAATTCAAAATCAGATAAAGTATGGTAGATAAAAAAAATAGAAGAATGTTATTATTCCATGATTTTAGCAAATTATTTATACATATTATTATATAATATATCAATTACAAAGTCCAAAAATGAATGAATATGGAGGGGGATG